TCCTTGCCATCGAGGCCCCACCTTGGGAGAGCCCCTCAGATCAGTGATCAGCCTCAGTGCAGAGGGATTGGCCAGTCTCCCTCATACCTAACCCTCCATGGACAGGTTTGTCTGTAAAATCCCAAACCTCAGAGCTCCCAGGGGATTGGTCTCCTCAGTGGTTCTGAACAGTCAGCAAAAAACATTAAAGACATGTGCTGCCTGGTGTTATTCTCGTGGAACAACAACCACATCTGTGGTGCTTCCCAAGTGGAAACCAGAGCAGCTCCAATATCCCAAATCCTGCTTTATTCCTCATTTGCATCACTTTTATAGTTCTGAATTGGCTGTTTAGTGTGAACTGAGGGTTGTTTTGGAGTTTTCTATCCAGCATTCCCTGTACATAACTGGAATTCCTTCCTAGAGGGTATGGATTTGTCAAAGCCTTACATTTTCTGGTGTAATTGCTATTCTTGAATGCCTCCATTTTTTGACAAGGGGTGTTTTTATCCTTTCTAAGTGCTCTGCTTTACCCCTGGTTGGTGTTTGTATGGGAGAGGGAAGCATGCTGTAAACTCCCTGTCCTGACAGCCGTGCGTGACGGTGGGCAGTGTCTGTACCCGACTCGTGGGCAGGAAACCAGCACAGTTCCTCTCTCACCCTTTGGTGTTCTCACAGCAGCCAAGCAGCCATTGATTTTGATCAGCTGTGAGGACTGGGGACTGCTCTCTAAAGGAAAAAAAAAGGGAGCCCATCTTGGGTTTCAGCAGCCGTGCGAGGCAGAGAGGAGGTTATGAGATCATAGTCTGCACCGAACGCCGCAGAGTGCGGCTGTGAGGGAAGTCTATGAATTTTTAAAGCAGCTCTGCACCAAGACAGCTCCCATCACACACTGGAACTTCACATTGCAAGGTAAAACAGCAGCCTAGTGTGTACTGCTAATCACCTTCTCTCCTGCCTGCTGGAATGGGTCCTTTGGCCAGATTGATCCTAGGCTGCACTGCTGCCTGCCTGCAGACAGCTGGGTTACACCCAGGGCAGGATTCAGCCCAGTGATTCCAGATTTCTTCCTCTTCTCTCTCAGAATGATTTTCAATAGGCAAAAAAATATGGAATGGTCCTGTCATGGTGTGCCCAGGAGAGGCATCACCCAATAAAAACGCACAGCAAATCACCCAAATCAATGAGTTGTCAGTGATGAGGGAGGAGAAACCCATCACACTTCTGCTTTAGAGCACACAGGCAGGCAGGAATTACCCTAATTTAGCTAAGGCCATTACTAAAGCAATTTCCTTATATCACAAACACTTCTTGAATCAATTAAATCTCATTTGTGAGTTTATTTTGTTTCTCTATCACACTAAAATTATAAAGGTCTTAAACCCCCAGCAAAAGCAGCAGCAGTACCTGCTAATGAAACCCATTACAGACAGATTTGGGTAAACTGGTCCACACAGAGCCTGGAATGAGGCACTTCCCTGCTGGAAAACTGCACTGCCATGTACAGAATGGTTCACAATGAGGACAGAACAGTACATCTACCTTAATATTTAATTTTCCTACAAGTGGATTAAAACATCTGTCCATGATCTCGACAGGAGTCTGATATGTAGCTAACAAACTACCTGTGGCTCTGCATTAAATCCTGGACCCGTGTTTTTGTCTCCTGGCTGTATCCTGCCTCCACAGCAGGGGAACAGCACCTGCACAACTTTCCTTAGAGCCAGTTTGCTCGCAGCAAATCGGATTTTCAATCCAAGCTCCAAACTCAGCCTCATTCTTGTGTAACACTTTGCTGTGTGTGAGCTGAACTTGTCCATCTCAGCACAGCAGGTGAGGACACACTGGCCATGCCAATTCAAAATCCAAGAGCTGAGGGAAGTGTAATTAATGGAGGAATTTGGCTTCCTTAGGACCAGCCAGTGCGAGTGGAAGGGAGGAATCCTCATGTGCTGCTCCTGCCTTAGGCTTCTAGCCCATCCCAGCCTGAATGTGTGACCCCTCACATTCCAAAGGGTACCTTTGTGTATCACACAGGTACAGATCCCTGTTCCCAGCACAGAACACTCCTGTGCTGCTTCCCACTGCCAATCCCACTCCCCTGAATGATACTCCATCTGCAGACAAGGATCTCTGTTGGTGTATCCCCTGACACACTCCTGCACTTGGGACTTCCAAGCACACCTCTGCCCTCTGCAGGAGGGGGGAATGCTGCTGTTCCAGCCACACTGCAGGATGTCCAGTCCCATCTCCAGGAAAAAATTTAAACTACAAAACACAAAACAAGTGATATTTCCCCTGACAATATTTATTTGAATACAGGAGTGATTTTTGATGTAATTCTGATCTGACTTAAGTGTTCCCTCTGCAGGAATTTCCCAAAATTTTTAGTATTTACAGAAAGTGACTTTGGAACTTGGTAAATATTCACTGAAAGCATCTGGGTATGGAATGGACATTATTAGTTACACCAATATTAGCTACACTCAGCAGTAGTTATACCCTTTATTAGTTACACCATCATAGGTCACAGATGGCACCTCAGCAGAGCAACCCCAGCTGCAGTGGGAGTTAGTTCCATAGGTATTCCCAACAACACCTTTCCAGCCAATTTGAACATCACAGTTCATCACAAAAAAATCCCTCTTCCTATCACCTTTAGTCCTTGGGACATTGCAAACTTCCCAGTCTCTCCAGGTGCATTGCTAATGGAATGAACCAGGTGAAAAGCAGGGAATGCACAATTCCTTGCACATTGCTGATTCAGTAGGATTTGGATGTAACAGAGTCACTGTGCAGGTTTCCACCTCACCAAAGCAAGAGCAGAGCCTGTGCTCACTGCTGATGGAGCTCACAGAGGCTCCTGGTCCTGCTTGGATGGGGCTTCTCTCTTTTGTAAAAGGAATTTCATATGCTGAGACTCTTTGTACATATTTATAATGAGTTTATTAAAAAAAAGAAAAATAACTGTTCAATGGCAAAAAAGTCTCCAGTTTTTATTTCCTCTCTAAAAGTAACTTCCTTGCACAGCCCTCAGTGTTTTCCCATGGAAATCAACAGTTTCGCATCAGCTGTCATAGGGACTGAAGTTTCCCATGTATGTTCTCTGATGCAAGTGTCATGTTCTATGAGAGGGTAGAATTGTCCTCACTCCCCCAAAAAAGACTATAAGAATGCAAAGAATATTCCCAGACTTTCCCTTTGTTTCCCTTCCTGATCACCAAATAAATAACAGTAATTTTGAAGCAGTCTATCCCACACACTTTGTAGCGCTGGGCTCCTACTGACCTTTTCCTACACTTCTCCAAACACATTTTTCAGGAGCATTTAGGAAAAAAATTCAGACTTAGAAGTGGCTTTTCGAACAGCTCACAAGCAGATACCCCAACCTGATGGATCACCTGCACTGCACTGAAACCCAACACTGAGGCCTCTCAGGAACTGCCCATGGAATCAGTCACCTTCCCTTTTCCCAGTGAATATACCAAACTGTCCCACTAACAACACTCTTATTTCCTCTGTCAGCTTTGCTTCCTGCCTTTCTGAAGTCTCCTCCCCCATCCCAGAGAGGCTATTCCCATTGGAGATAGCAACCAGATTCCTTGGCTTAGTTCTCCACTTTCACAGGATCCATTTGATAAGAATCAAATCACTTTGGTTGGAAAGTAAAGCTTCTGCTCCTGTATCTCTCAAGCCAGATTTGGCCTCTCTTCCCTGCTCAGGCTCTGCCTCTTGCCATTCCTCCTCCATCCACACTAACTGTTGCTAACTGCACACATCTCCAAAGAAATAGGGAGCCTTAATGCTGTTCCCATCAGCTCCTGTTTGCTTTTATTCTTCCCTCTGTGCAGTTTCAGTCAGCACAGACACATAGGCTCATCTGCCCCAGGTATTTCTTCCTGATGAACTGCTCAGGTGGGACTGTCACGGCCATTTCCATGGCACTGGGTAGGGAATGCTGCAGTTCCTAGTGAGACACATTCCAGGAGTGCAGCAAGAGCAGAAATGTGTTGGTGGCAGAAAGCTCCAGAGCACACAGCAGCTCCTGCAGGCACCTGCTGCTACAGCCCCTCAGCAGAGACCAACTGTGGCTGCAGGGAGGCTGTTAGTTCTCCACTCACACCCAGGGATCTCCTTCCTTGAAGCTCAAGGCTCCAGTTTTCCCTTCCAGGCTGTGAGTGGCACTGGTCACAGCCAGCCAGCCCAGCCTGGAGTGGAGACACTGAGTTTGTGGGATGCTCTTGGTCAGGAGCTGGAATCTTCACTCAGACAAATCCAACTCGACTTCAATCTATCCCTGCCTCCTGCTGTTCTCCCTACATACTGGGAATTCAGAAAGTCTCACCATGAAAACTAAAGAGGAAAAACATTCCAAAGAAAAGGCAGTATCATTTCCAGCTTTACTAGCATGTTCCTTCCCAAGTTCCCTGGGATTTCATTAAGATGACACCACGTGCCATTTGTGACATCAATTGCACAAACAGAGCTGTTGGGAAGTGACATTTCTCCAACCCCAACGAAACTTTGGGCATGAGGTTCTGAAGCAGTTTGGGAAGAGTTCTCAGAGGTACTGTAACAGCAACTGTGTAATTCCATGAAGTTATGGATTCAGGGAATGTAGGGCCATACAATGTGAGACACCTCAGCAGAGGCTGAGCCAGAGGACAGCTCAGTTTCAGCACCTCAGGTTAGACACATGCAATCACAGTTCACTTGCCTTGTACACACAGTATTTGTCTATACTAAAAGCACAGGAAACCAGGGAACATCCCAGGCAGTTTATAACCATGTAAATTCAAGAAAAATCCTTGGCTATAGCTTAGCCATGGAGTTTGCCACAACATAAACCACATCTTCCTTGCTTTTGAGGATAAAGTTTGTGGCTAGCAACATTCTGTTGGCTCCTGGACAAATAAAGCTGGAAGGAAGAGTAAGACAACAAACACACAGACAGCTAAGTAGGGGCACAAGATCACCAGATTTTCCAGCTTCTCTCCTCTGCACATATTATCCCACTGGTATCAGTAGACCTGGAAATGAGCAGAGGTGGTGCCATCCTTCCAGCACCGCAGGGTCTCCACGGTGACAGAGCGACACAGAGGACAGGTCTTCTCCCTGTCGAACCAGAGGCACAGGCACTCCTCACAGAACACGTGCTGGGGAGACACAAGGGCATTGTCACCACCAGGCAGGAGCTCCAGCCTTGTCACTCAGTGTGCACAGCCACGAGGCAGTAGGGAGGGATTCCAGTGCAGCTGATCCTCACATGATATGGAAAACAAAGCCCAGCACTCCCAGTACATCAGTTTGCCAAAGCTAGTGATTTACTGCTCTGTCTCTTAATACAGCATGAGAAAGAAACATCAAAAGGCTGGTGACTTCCAGACTAACAAAGTACCTGAGAGGGTTTTCTACCACATTTGCATCCTCAGTTCACTGAGTTATTTAAGTCTTTACTGAGCTCAACAAGCAACTGAAGAGCAAATCTTGGGGAAGCATCTCCAGCCTTGCCAAGAGGCCTTCAGCAGCCTCTGGTTTGTTAACAGAGTCCATGGCAGTGTGGTATAAGGGGTTTTCTGGCCCCAGACCAGGAGTGCACCATTCCCCAGAGTCTGCCACTCTTAAACTATAGTTTTTGCCAGAGTATACCCAATGAGTAACATGACAAATCCCAGTTCCTGACAGTGGTGACCAACTTGGACATGCAGAACTGCATTCATTCCATGTGTTCCAATGCCACACCATGATTACATGGTGCTGCCCCAGTCCCTGTGCACCCTCCCAGGCTCAGGCTGGATCTGTGCCCCTCTCTCAGCACTTGCTCTGACTCCTCAGTCTCCCCAAGGGCAGGTAAAACACTCTTGCATTCTAGACCCAAGACCTGCACTGCCAACTGGCACTCCCTGGCCTACAAGGCTATTTCCATCCCAGAAGCTATGGTTAGTCCCCAAAGAGTGGCTCAGCTGCCATGAATCACTGGTTATCCAGAACAGGGCAATAAATATCCATCAGGATCCTGATGAAGTCCCAGTAAATGACTTTATAAGTTCCCAGGCTGACTGTGCCTCTCCCCAGCTGCTCAAATTAACTAAAGGAATGCCAATAGGGGAGTGTGATGTGGGAAGCTCAGGGTCTTACCTGGCACATAAGGATCAAAGGCTCCCTGAATTCTGCTTGGCAAATGGCACAAATGTCTCCTGCCTCACTGCACTGCTGGCTGGTGGCACGGACTCCGTAGGTCTGTGAGGGAGAGGTGGGGAAAAATCCCCATGTCAAAGGATTTGAAGGCTAAGTGTATCTAAAGACACTGCTTTGCACACCCAGATTCCCTGCACGACCTGGGAAGGACACTGGTGTCATGTCACTCTGTATGGGGAAGGGAGATCTGGGCCCCAGAACACAGAACAGAGGGAGTCTGGTGCTCTGTTCACTCTGGTTTGTTTTCCCCTCGAGCTGACTCCATCTTTTAGTGCCTCCACTTGTGCAGCAATGATAATGAAATTTAATGAGCTCAACAGGGAGCTGAAAGGATTAATTCAGCATCATTTGCAGAGGTGTTTAGATAGTGGGAGGTATTATTAATAGCAAGTTAGACAATAGAAGAAAGAATAACAACAGCAGCACCCACGGGCTGCCCATTTTGCTTCTAAATATGTGGAAGGTAAATGTTGCTTCTCCTATTGTAACAGAATTAGGGGAAATAGAAACATGCTGAGGAGAAGTGACCAGCTCAAACCCACAGAATAAGCAAAGTAAGATCTAACAAACTTCAGTGATATTGTGTTCCTTTCCTCTACAGTCTTTGATTTTACCCTTTTAAAATGTAAATCACAGTATTTCACTGCCACAGATCTAGATCTCAGTCCTGTGTAATGCAGTGCCTGGGATATAATGCAGTGCCTGGGATAAGTTCTGTGCACTGCAGGATCCCTTTTAATGTCACTGCACATCAGGCACTACATGCTTCTAGTTAAAGAAGTCCTTCTCACACTCTGCACTACAAAGTTTTGTAAGCTCCTTGAAGTTTTGGCCTCAGTGGATTAATCCATATTATACAGAGCTTCCAATCAGACAAAACAGGAACAATCTCTTACTACAGCTGGGACAGGGCAGTTGTCAAAAGGTTCCTAACATCCCTGGCAGGAGATAACAGCTTATCCAGCCATGGGATGACACATTATTTTATTCTATGATCCTGATACACTGAGTAATTTCCAACTCCATCATCCAACAGTAACAGAGTTTCACCTCTGAAACTGCTCTAATATCCATAACCACTTACCTGGGGGGTGCAAAGGACCTTGAGTGCCTTCCGGACACTTCCCACACGGCCACAGATGTCAAACGACTGCAATAAAGACATCCCAGGTCAGATACTGCCCACAAAATGTGTGTGTACAGTCCAGAAACTCAGGAAATGGTGTCTCCACATGGATGCTTGGAGGGGAAAAAAGTAACAATGGTGCCAAAACAGATTTCATGGTGATCATGAGATGTGCAGTAAATGTGAACTGACAGTGGGGAAGGGTCGCCAAAAATCCTCTGGTAACAATGGACTGCACATCAGGGGCTTTAGAGGACAGAAAGAGGGGCAGACACCAGGGTTGTGGTGGGGAAAATTGCCCACTAAGTAGGGAAGGGCTAAAATTCCCATTCCCACCCTGAGAGCTGAGTATCCAGAAGCCCAGAAGTGAGAGTAGGGAACACTGCAAGTAGCTCAAGAAAGGGAGGGAAGGGAGGTCTTTTCAGGTGGAAGAGGCAGGAAAGGGATTTCCTCAACCTCTAGGAATAAGGGGATTTCCAAGGTTTTGTGGCTCTGCCCCAAAGCTTGGCATTTCAGGAACTAGATGCCATTATGGAAGAAGTGGGAATTCCTATCCTGCTGCAGAGTGATTTAGGGAGTGCAGTGATTAAATGCCACCAAGAATGGTCTAAGGAATGAGGAGCAGGTCTGAGGCTGAGTTTGTCACAATCACCTAAAGAGTGAGAAACTTCCAATGCCAGGAAGGGAGTGCAGACACCCAAAAGTGGCCAACAGCAGGGGCAACATGGGGTCCCTTTCCTTCCCCTCCCTCCAATGCCCAGCACACATGATGTAACTGCATCTGGTGAGCAGAGCTGGTTCTGGGCTCCTCATTAGGGACTAAAAGCAGTTCAGAGAAGGGCAGAAAATGAGCCTGCAGAAAATGATTTCTGAAAAGAGTCTAGAAGACATCTATATTTACAGCTTGGCTGAGCAGTACAGAAGTGGGGGGAAAGATGTGAAAACTGCCTATAAGTATCAAGGGGCTGAGCAAGAGAGGAGACACTAAGCATACTTAGAGTGAAGATGTGGCACTACTAATAAAAGGGAAAATAGCTTGAAAACCCAATCCAGTATGTCAGCTCTCTTTTCCCTATCTACTGGCAGAGCACAGGGAAAAAGACACTATGAACTAGACACGATGTGAAGAAGTAATTGTGCAGAGAACAGCCCTGCACTAGCTGGAGATGGGCCTAATAGCTCAACAGGACCTTTTGTTTCTCACCTGGAGGGCAGGGGAAGATGTGATACAGCAGGTGCAGAGCTGGACTAGCACTACAAAAGGCACCAGAATGCCTGGAGTTGGCTTTCTATTGTTGTTTTTTTTTGGTTAGCATGATTAAGTGGGCTCACTGCAGGGAATGCCAATGAGATCATCCTGCAATAGATGTGGAATCAAATGAAGGCACCAATAATGCTTCCAGTCAGCATGTAAAAAGGCTCCCAGGGTCCTTCCAGTAATGTTTCCAGTCAGCAACTACCACTGGAGGCTGCTGACTGCTACACACCTTTCATCTCCTAACAAGGGTCAGGATCAGCTCTTTTCCACAGCTTTTGCATACTATTTGAAGGGGTTGGAATGGAGCTTAGAGATCATCCAGCCTCAACCCCCTGCCCTGGGCAGAGACACCTCCCACCAGAACAGGTTGCTCAAGGCGTTAGTCAACCTGGCCTTGAACACTGCCAGGGTTGGGGCAGCCACAGCCTCCCTGGGCAACCTGTGCCAGTGTCTCACCACCCTCACAGGGAAAACCTCTGCCTAATATCTAATTCAAATTTTCCCTCTTTCAATTTATACCCATTTTCTGGTTGCTTTGCTTATATCATGGCTTCTAATGCCTTTCCTCTGTTGTCTCCTCTTCTCCCAGTTCATATTCCCCGTTCAGTTTTTCCTCTCTGGAGCTCCCTGTGCCCCCAAAAGCTGCATGTTTCAGTAGTCTAACATCCATTTCTCATCCCTACACTGAAGTGTGTTACCTCACTCACCATTCCATAACAACTGAGTTACAGACAGTGAGTGCTTCTGTTCAGGATAAGGAAAAATAAGACCTGGATGCTCTTACTTGTGAACACCTGGGATTTCTTCACCCAAATCAGAGGTTCATATCTACACAATCCAGCTTGAGATGAAGACAGCTCCCATCAGCTGCACCACAGACCTTCTGGAAGTGATCCTGCCCTTTGTATAGGGGAAGGGGATGCAGCCCGAGCTAAGCCTTGGATTTTTGCCAGGAGCACAGAAGCTCTCAGTGCCAAATTGGCTTCTGTGGTTTTTCTAATGTGGTTTGTGGCTTCGCTAATGTGGATTCCTTTGGGTATATTTTCAGTGTCTCAGGCAAGGAATTAGACCTGCAACTCTTGTGACTGTAAATGGGATGCACATACCTCATACTCCATGATCTGTATTGGAAGAGTGTACTCTCACTCTTCTTTCACTTCCAAGCAAAGTCTCTAGTGTGCAGAGGGCTAATCCTGACCTGGGCACATCTGTGGTACTCAGTAGCTGCCACACAATGTCATGGGACATGTTCCTGGACCCAACACCCTTTGGCACTTACCCCTCTGATGAATTGGATGAATTACAGGAAGGAACATGCATGTTACAGGCATGGGCTGTAGCCAAGGCACTTTCACTAAAGTGTGCCCCCCAGTCCTGGGCCTAAGTTATAGTCAGTGCTGGACAATAGTAGTCCTGTCCTCACAGAGCTTCTAAAGAACAGATCAGCAGAACTTTTCAACGTGAGGTTGCTTTTCCAACCTGGATTATCATAACACTATGTATAAAGACTTCATAGTACAGAAACATTCAGTTAACCCAGAAGTAACTGCTCACACCTGTGTCAGGGCCCTCAGTGCAGTAACAGACCCTCATGGCCCTGACAAGCCTCACCTGGGCTCTCCACCCACAGTGCCTGCCCATAGGCTCAGCACCTCTATTTAAGCTCAGCCCTGGAAACTTCAGCTACTGTTTAAGCTGTGTTATGTAAGTGCTAGTTCCCAGTTTAGCTATGCCTAGCTATAGATACCATCAGTCTGGACACTCCAGCACATGGATTGACCTCCCACTCTCAGCTTGAGCCCTACTCATTGCTATGGCTCTGCCCTGCAGTTGCTGGACTGTGTCTGATCCTGGCTGCCACTGCCAGGCCTGATCCTCACCTCTGGATGGATCTTCTGGCTCGTTCTTGGACTTGCCTCACCACCTGAAGATTTTGGCTCTTGCCTTGTTTGGGTGCTGCAGGGCTGGGCCCTGGCTGGTGAGGCCCCTGCCTTGCCAGCTGTGGTTCTGAACTCCTCCAAGGAGCAGAAGCCTCCACTGTTACTTTGCACTATGAGGACTTCTCCATGTGTAAGAAATGGCATGTGAAACTGCAGGTAAGCATCCCTTTTCCTGATTGTGCTGGTTTTGACTGGGGCAGAGCTGAGTTGAGTTCCTTTAGCAGGAAGGGACAAAGACTATTTGAAATCTATCGTTGTAACTGGGATCTGTAGACCTGACCTCACAAGCCAAAGAGGCATGGAAGGGTTGGATACTGTTATCTAGAGTGGACCCAGGCAGTGGCATCTCTGAAAGAAGCAACAACCCTCTCCCACAGTGTGGAGTAAAGAGCAGGAAACACAGAGCTGAGAGAATAGATGGGTGTGCAGGGAGCTGAACTGGTCTCAGGTGCTTCTATTCTGGCACTATTTGCTCTGTTTCTGGCTTGATCTCAGACCTGCTGTGACCAAACCACTTCACTTCTCATGATCTCCTCGGCCTATTTTGCTTACAAGAATTGTAAATTCCTAGACAGGAGTGGTTGGATTGCCCCATTCCTGTATAACATACAGCTTTAACTACAACCATACATCACGTAACAGCTACTCAGTATTGCTCAGCCCCTCTGAGCTGTTTTTAGCTTGGATATGTTCTCTCTTCCCCATTCTTCAATTTGCTTCTGCAAAGCCATAGGCAGAGATGGGTATCTGGGCTGCAGCAAGCCCAGTGGCTTACCTCAGAGGGATGGGGAGCACAGGTATAGCACTTTGCTTCAGCTACTGCCCTGCCCCTGGGCAGGGGTCAGCAAACACAATTAGAAATACAACTATTTCTAGACCTCTTTGTACTATTAACATTATTATTTTTGAGGAAACATTAGTTATTCCTGTCCATCACTGAGATCCTGGACTTGCATCAGCCACACCAGGACCTAGAATGGGGCAAAACTAACTGTTTTATCCAGGCAGGACTTGGATGCCTCTCTCTCTCTCTCCCTGCAGCACTCAGTGCTGTGAGTGACAGAGAACCTACCCTGCCTGGAAAGGCAGAGGAAGGCTTAGAGAGAAACACTTAACTCTGCAACCTGCCTTTCAGTGCTGTACCTGAAAGTCTTGAAACAGCTGACCATCTCTCCAGTACTGCTCCCCCAAGGTTCCTCTCCCATTCTCCTCCAGCCTTTATAGAAAGGTATTAGAGAGCAGCAATGACTTCATAAGTCTGATGCAACACCCATGAGCAGCCACAGATCTTCCTAGCTCAGCAATGCCCACATGCTGGTGAAGCAAAATGCCTTTGGCAATTTGCCGTGGTGTCCCAGCTGCTGCAGCTTCCTGCCTGGGTACAGCAACAACCAAGAGATGTTTGTTCCCTTCAGCTCTGATGCTTTCTCTGCTCTTGTTACAGCTCCCAAGAGGCTAGTAATGAGGTGGTACTCACCTTGCAGAGGCTATACATGATGATCAGGATTCCACCTAGGAAGTAACTGCTGGATGGATCATCTCCCATAATGTATTTATACCACAGCTGGATGGGGACGAGGGAGCGGAACAGCTGGCTCAGCTCCTCAATAACCAGATAAAACTTCCCCTGTAAAACAGCCAAACAAGTGAGACATGACTATTATCAGGAAGTCCAAGAAGAGCATTTAACAGGTGCAGGGCTTGTGTTCACTGAGCACCTGCACACTCTGTTAAATGGTGCAGAGACCAGTGCTCATGAGATGCAGCTTTCTCTGCAGCCAATGGATAAATGTCACTTCATTCTTTCCATGTTCCTCTTGCTCTGTCACTTACCCAGATATGCTCCATTTCTGAATCTTTAACTTTAGAGCAGGCTATGGATACACTGTGTATCTGGACAATGTTGCTGAGCATTAACAGCAGAGGCTAAGACTTACAGGGATTAATATGATGTAAATTGTAGATGCTATTAATAATGAGACAAGGAAAGCAAGGTAAATCTCTTTAATTTTATACCCCTGTCTGAAGGTACAGGGATTAAATGCAAAGTGACACCAGTCTTGCTGACAGCTCTCTGGATAATCCCAAAGAATCAAACTAATTATCTGTTTGCCAGAGTCCTTCCCCTTCCACTCAGGTGTGTGTTGGCTCTTGCACAGTGCACAGATGCTGAAAAAAACCCCAACTGGTGCTGAAAAAACCCCAACCCTCAGGGCATTTTAAACTCCAAATCCTTTCTGAGGACTTTAAGGAAGAAAAGGGGGGGGGAAGGGGAAGCATGCTGGTTGAAGAAACTCAAAGAATGGGCAGCATCATTTGTAAACTTTCACTAAAGCAGTCCCTGCCATCCTGGAGAAGGAAGCTTTTTCTTCCTTGCAGGACATCTGCAGGGTAACATAGTCTTCCTCTTGGCTTACTACAACCACGAGGTGTAACTATGAAACAGACTTTTTTTTTCATATGTGACTTCTGTTTTCAAGCACCTAGGAGCAGAGAAGCAGGCTGAATAAGGCTATGTAATTTAGGGCCAGCCCCAGCCTTAATGAGGACCTGTTTGTGTTCTGTCCCACACTGTTTAGAAGGCAGAGCTGGTGGCAGGGCACTAGGTCAGGGCCAGCTGTGAGCCCAGAACTGTGCTCCATCTGCAGTGACATTATCTGCACTGAAAGATTTGGGTTTGTTGTATCAAAATTCTTTTCTTTGATAAGCTCCTGGAGCAGGGGAAATTCCCCTGGAATTTTGCTGTGTTGTCCCAGTTAGCTTTGTCATCAGTGATGTCATCGCAGGCCAATCACTAATTGGAGAGCTGGGATGAAGTCCTCGCAGCCGGCGAGGCTAGGCAGGCAGCGCCCGTCCCCGGGGGCTGGGATGAGATCACTCGCAGGCCATCCTGCTGCACCGAGCAAATCCAATCCTTCGGAGAGCTCTGGCATGCTCATGATCTCATTCCCCCCCTGGGACACGGAGTGAGGTCACACCAGCGGTTGCTAACGGACCTGAGCTGCTTTCTTCCTCTCCCCCAATCCCCTCCTCCTTGTTAATCCCAGGTGGCATCACATAGCAAAAAACCAGTAACGGCAACAATCTGGGGTCCTAAATGCAAGCAATTTATTAAATTAGCAGCGAGGTCTCTCTCCAGCCTCGTGATTCAATGCAATCATCGTTTATTTCGGGAGCTCCTGTGACAGAGGGTCGCAGCCTGCTAATGACTGTGCTGTCACTTCCTTCCCTCCACAGCCAGCTCTGATGAAAGCCATCAGCAAGCTAAAGGCAGCAAACTGTTTGCTTTCTCTGACTTGTCCCTCCCACCAGGCTCACACTCCTCATCTTTCATTGATCCTTGCTTCCCTAGCAGCTGGGCTGGGACAGGTCACTGCTTGCTTCCCCATTGCATCAGATGGAACTGATGGATCCAGCACCTGGGGCATCAGAGCTGAAATTCTCCTACAGGACAAGTTCTGAGGCACTAAAACACTGAAGTCCACAACAAGATGTAAGAAGAGATGGGTCCCAGGCAGCCCTAGAGGATCAATGGGCTATGGAGCTGGCAGTGGCAGAGTGTGGCTCTAAAGTGAACATGCAGCAAGTGACAAACACAAACTTCAGTTGTCTAACCACATCTCCGCTGGTCACAAAGCTTTCATAATTCCTTCATCTCGTGCAGATCTTCAGTTTTCAGTGGTAATTGCAGGCAGCTAGTCACTTGGTAACAGCCTCACAAGAGTGAAGTTAAGCTTAAATGGATACATCCCTCCATCCAGCCCATTAACACCACCCATTTGACCATTAACAGACCTGTTGATAAGCTTAGAGTGATTCTAGGAGGAAGGAAGCAATACAAGGGCAGCCGAGGATCATTTAGAAAAGAACTAGGAAGTGCTTACAGAACTCTAAGTCTTATCAGGTATCTCAGCCCTCAGTACACCACTCCAGCCCTTTTTTAAACTAGGAAAAGTGCCAGAAAATGAGAAGTAATTCTACACAGGGCTGAAGCAGAAGTAGGATCTTCCTCCTGAGCCAGAATCTTTAACAACAAGGATTGCTCCCTACAGTTTCAGCAGCAAAATGGAGCTGTCTGACAGATTAACTTACAGCAGACAGCACGCACCACTGGTAAGCACACTCAGCATACCTGTCTTGCACTTCTCAGCTTTGTTATATCTTGGCTATCTAGGTTACAGTTTTCAATGTCAAATCTTTGTCTCCAGCTGTATTTTGTCTGAAAAAATCAGCTATGGTGTTTCAGCTATTTCTCTTCAAGATTAGAACTGTGTGTTATATTCAGCACACACACAATTATTTCTCTTGTGCATCTGACTTGGAACAACAGCTTGAAATAAGACAAGGCCTTCCCTCTGTTAGGTGACTCTTCCTAATTCATGCATGTAAATCTGGGAATCTTCTCTTGAACACACTGTATAGAGACTGAACAGCTCACTAAGATCAGCAAAAGCTATTTTTGGTGAGCCAGCCCCAGAGCATGACTGGACGGTGAAGGAAGCAGCCCTGCCCAGCAAACTGAACTGCAGAGATTGATAGGCTACTACCTGAAATCTTGTCGCCTAGTCAGGGCAGAGTTAGGTACCAGAACAGAGCCTCTGCTCTCATCAAGCCCTTGTAACAGGCTGGAGCGAAGCCTGACCAAGCCAATGAGGAGGACACTGCTGACACTGCTTCCTTGGTAGGTCAGTTACTGTGGGAGCTCACAGTCTGCTACTGCTGCTATCAAACCCTCCATCAGCACATGTGGTGAAGGGCTGTGCTGGGGATCTAAATTTAGCAGCTCTGCTGATCAGCCTCAGATACCACATGGTGGAGTTTTCACTTAGTCAGTGACTCGGGTATAATCCCCATTTCTCTGTACCTCCTTTACCACACGAAGACCATTTTTACACTTCTAGCATTTTGAAAGAGGAGACTTCAGGATTTTGATACACCTTCCCTCTTTACAAGCAGTGTTTCAGTGTGTAATGTGTGAGCACATGCTATTTCTGAGCAGAGGGTGAGTGGTACCCATTAAACATGTAACTTCTTAGTATTTTGTAATATCCTCATTATTCTGTGGCAGATCTGTATCTGATCCCTTTGTGCTATTGGAGCTCTGCTCAGAGTAGCACATTTCTAACATTTCTACAGTCCCTTTATGACCTCACCACTATAGAAAACACTTTTAAATCCCCCTTATTTTCACATTTCTGGCTGGCCTAAGGGACAGCTATTCTGTGTCGTCTAAATTAAAACCTGAGACCCAAAAAGATGAAGGTCAAGGTGAGGAGGTTGTTTTCATGTCCAAGATGACATGTCTGGGATTAGACTTTCATAAAGCACTTAATTTTACAGATCATATTACCATTAAAAGCTGAACCACTGACTTCAGTTTGCAGCTGTACATGACTTTTCTGGAATTACATAGGAATTATTTGGCAAAGTAAAGGCTAGAATTTAATTCTCCAGTGTAGCATTCAACTTGAACTTGTAGAATGTGCTTCCAATGGACTCTTTGTTTTCTATTAACTTTCCAGTTGCTAGAACAGCTTCTTTCAGTATCTCACCTTCATCCTTGGGGTACAGTACACACTGCTGATGGAGGGAAGAAGACTCAGAAAAATAACATGGAATAGTGTAATTAAAATTGAATCACAATACCCACACAGCAAAAGGGACAAACTGCAGCTGCAGAAGCAATGCTAATTCCCACACAGCCTAACTGAGCCTTGACTTTGTGGTCTCTTTTGACATAAGGCTTTGCATAAGTGCATGTGTGCCTCCCCAGAAGGAAACAGGCAGGGTAAGGTTTTACACAGCAGAATTAAAATGGGATTCTAGAGAAGTGAGAGAAGTTGCAATGAGGCAACTGTAAGTTGTGATTAGCACTCAAGGGAAGTTCCAAGTCTCACTTGCTCTGTTGCCAGCAGCATTAGGACATGTTCTGAAAGAGGAAGATGCTAGAAAAAACTTTTGAGACCTGCTGGCAATTTGGATCAGAGGAGAGCAGGCTCTGCTGAGATTTCAGGTCATATTGCCAGTATAAAAAGGTGTTGGGTAGGAGCAGTAAACAGGATTGTGGCACAGAAGATGCTGCTAAAAATCCATGCAGGACTAATGAGGAGTAATTTCAAGGTGGGACTAGAGGGGGAAATGAGAATTTCAGTGCACTGAAAGTTACGTCTTGGACATCTTAAACTTGAAAGTCAAATTTGGAAAGCACCTGAGAGCAATGATTCTTTTAAAGTTCAGTAGCATGTTAGGGAGGGGGGCCGAAGAGTCCCCATTCCTCAGGACCTGGCCTTAAGCTTTAGTTACTTTTTCTTTCATAAAGAATAAATCCTCTTCTTCTAACTGGGACACCACACCTGTCCCAGGCTGCAGTAGGGAAAAGTCTGTGCAGAATGTCATGTAGTTTCAGAGCTTGGGAGGATCAAAGCTCAGATTGCTGTCCAAGAAGAGTGAATCTGTTTCTGAGTGAGTTCCCCCAAGGAGCATCTAAGATCTGAATGCAGAGGGTAATGAGAGGATGGGCTATCACATATCTAGAAACACCATTTTAGCCACAGTTAGAGAAGATGAGGATTAACTTGTATTTTACATAGTACAAGAGCACAGACAAGGAACAGCTTTACCTGGATATTTTTTTCTAAAACTTCATCCATGTTCCAGCTCCCAGTGGTTTATCTAATGCTTCGGTATATTACCATCAACATTTAGTGGACTCAAATGCTCCAAGAGGCTTTTTTTTCTCAGGATGCTGAAGGAATATGGAAAGCTTAGTGTGTCAGATTACATGGCAGAGCTGTAACCATCTATGCTAGGAAATATGATGTGCACCTAAAGGTGTCTAGTCCAAAATCCAAGTGTAAAACTGTGTAGAGAATAGCTGTCACATACAGGCCAAGTTTTCTCTGATCAGATTTGATGAGATGGTACTTGAAAAATAAAAAGCACTAATAAAACAAGCAGTCAAATAACCATCAAGCAAGTATCTTCAAAGATGCAGTGAGCGGCTGGCAGTGATCTCTGGATATACCTGTACCCTTGTGACTGACACCATTTAAACAGCATAAAGAAACAAATTCACATGAGTAATGTCAATCTTGCCACAAAACCTCATTTACAATGTCTGGGTTCAGCTTTCATACAAAGCTCACAAGTGTTAATTCAATAGTAATTTCCTGCTATGTTTTCAACAAGCCAATGTTAGTTTTTCCTTCTGAATTTTTAACCTTCTGGAAATGCAGCCCCTTAGAACTTGGCTGCACATCTGTCCTGAGCTTGGAAAAATTTTTACTTAGGGCCCTTCTTATATACCAGTCTGGAAAAATGTCCTAGGTATCTTCTCCCCTATAGAGACAGGGATACATATATAAAAGAACTTGGGATACCAGTTCTACAGTTCTTTTTGGTTTGGTTTTCCCCCCCTCCCCTCATGCTTCACTCCATTCTCCAGGATAACCAGCTCAGATTGCTGACAGCAGCATGAGGAGGGGATGGGAGACTTGTAGGCACCTGGGATTTCCTAAGTGAAATATTTGGCAACTGTGTCTTTTTATTATTTATTTCCTTATTTTGAATTCCACCCCCCTCAAGCTGTCATTCCTTAGCAGTGAAAATGAAAAGCTGCCATGTATGTGCGTACAACAATGGAGGCCTCTGCAGGCCACATGGCTCCTGCAGTTTAATTTACTTTAATTCATTTTATATTGAACCAAATGATCTTATTTGCCTCTTTTTAATGGAGAGCCTTCAGCATGCAGGGTGGGAGCCAAGCCCCCCTTCCACAGAAATGATGAGCCCAGCTGCTATTGAAACTTGTCCTCAGCCTGCCATGCCCATCACAGCTCCCAGGGGAGCAAGGGACACCTTTAGCCACAGGTGTCATCCTTCTCTTGCAACCTCCACTGACTCCAGAGAGGTAAGATCACAGTCTGATGTTGGGGTTACCTTGCTTTTCCTGGATTTTTTTTTCTCTCCTATTCACAAGGTCTCTCCCTGCTTTCCAGCCTGATTGTAGTCTCACAGCTTCTCTTGGCATCTGTTTTCCAGACTGGTTGTGGACTTGGGAAAGTCTGGGACTATTCTGTCAAATTTGCAGTCTTCTCCCATTTTTTGGAGGAGCTGCTTGCAGAGATGTTCTGTGTCTGAGTTATTCAAGCTTGGAGAACTCTGGCTAGTTGTACCTTAATAATATACCAGCCCTAATGCTTCCCACTTCAGGCACTCATGATGATATTTATTGCATTCTGTATTCTGATTTCAGAGCCAAACATGGTTTTTTGCCTTTCAATTTCAGTTTGCTTTTTCTCAGTCAAAGCATAAACTGATGCTATAAACCCAAATGCTATCTTACACCAAAAGCTGCCCTTCCTGTGATGAGCCATCCTAGGAATACATGAACCAGGTGCTTTAGATGGGGAGAACTGAGTGCTCTAGCCCAAGTTTCTAATGTGTTCACTGTCCAAATGGGAATAAGCATCTGACTGAGGTAAGCTTAGTGCTATTCAGTATTTTAATTATCTTGATGGAGCAGAGTAGGCTTATTAAATGTACAAAGCTGACACTACCCTGGGAAAGGCTACAAACACACTGGAAAGAAGGATTGTAATCCAAATTCATCTTGACAGACTGGAGAAATGGTCTGGAAAACAGGGTGGAATGAAGACAGTCCAGAAGAGAATAATAAGATCTGGAATGAATGATCTCTGAGAAAAGACTCAATTAGTGTTGTTCAGTCTACAAAGACTGAGGAGAGATAGAAAGACTCTGTAAAAGAAAGAAAACAATCCAATTTTGCTTCACTCACAATGGATACAAAGAGGTAAGAGACTAAAAAGAAGGATATTCAGAGGAGATGCTTTGTACTAGAAAGGCTATGCAAACATCAGTGACAGCCACACAGTATTCAGAGACCAGAATCTCAAGGAGCAGCATGGAAAGTCAGGCTAACTATGGAAGTGCCTTTGAACTTCCAAAACAAGGAAAATCTGAAGAGCCTGCTCAGAGGTTGAGTGCAGAATGACCCAAGTTCCTCATAGCTCATCCATGGGCAAGTTTTACAACCTATTACTGACTGCCAGCAAGAAGGTACTGCAAGGAAGCTCAAGATGAAATACCTCTGTCCCATTCAGAGCTACGCTGAACTCTACCCCTGACAGTGCAGCAGTCTCCACTCCAGCCCTGTGTTAGGGGAGGTAGAGGCTGCTGTTCTCAGTAGCTATATTGGCACAAAAATGATCACTGTATGTGTATACATGTTGAAAAATTCTAGCTCTACTCTGAGTCTAATTTCTATTTCTCCAGCCTTGCTACCATTCAGTGACAGCTACCCAGAAGGTCATAAACTCCAAGCTGGGCTTCAAGTAGAAACACTACTATGAGCACATGGAGAAGGAGAGAGTAACTTTGTGTCTGGCGTTCTAACTCAAGCAAAGCTTACACTTAAAAGAACTCAACTGGAAAATAAGCTCTGTGGCATTGTGCAGACCTGCAGAAGTCAGCTGGGTCAGCAGGCTCAGAGGAAGAGCTCAGCTATGTGGGTACCAATTACAATTTCTATAGTGTCCTGTGGTTCTCTTGGAGCACTCCCATCCCAGTTTGATCTTGCTTAATTTGTCACACTAGATCTCATCCCTGGTTGGCTTAATGGATGCAGTGTAGAGTGGGGGAGAGAAACAAATCCAAATCCATAGTGATAGGTAACAGCAGTCTCAGTTGTCAAGGGACAGGGAGACCATCAACAACATCCTAAGACAAAAAGGGACTTAAAAAAAGTGAGAAATATTGCTATCCAGAAAAAGGTATTAAAAATGAAGCATCTGTGCTCTGAGTCATTATAGGCCCTTGACAGATGTGGTCTTACCAGCCTCCCACTATAGTTGCAAATAAAGACCCCTTCTCTTTCTTCTCTCCAGACAAGGATTAATGAGTACTTGGGATAGCTCTCAGACAAGCAAGCAAAGGCTGTGAACCTTTTCCAACACTGCAATTTATCTTGGGAAGACTATTCACATCATTTCTGCCTCCCTCCCCAGGCTGGATTATGCTCTGACCTAGCACATTAATCTCCCAAAATATAATAATAATAATAGAACAAAAAAAAAAAAGCTGGACAATTGCCAGAAATAAATTAATAACCATCTCAAATAGGCCTGCTGTGCAGGAACAAACTGCTCAACTCCCCTGCCACCCATGTCATTTCTAAGCAAAACTATTCCCAGTTTTGATATCCCCTTAAGTGCCCTGCCTGAGACTTTGCAGCAATTAATGAAGGTATCTTGCATCTATGCAGTGCCTTTCATTCCAACAGCTGCCAGAAAGTTCCTTTACTGAATGCAAATAATACACATTGCCACGTTTGCCCCTGACAGATCTGTACAAGTGAAAACATATGAAAAGGTATTTCAAGAGAGAGAATGTAGTGAGAAAGTTTCAAAAGTTAGCCCTGGTTTAGATATGGTTTCATGAACATGTAGTTATGTTAAGCATTTAGTTCACATATTTCTTCATTTATGGTTAGAACTGGTGTTGTCCTTTGTGGCACCAGGAGATTCAATTTAATCCTGTTACTTCTTTGACCCAAGTGGAAAGCCAAAGAGACAAATACTCGCAATTTCTTCCCATTCAGTGAAGAGATTCATGCTTCAGAAATATGTATGTACAGACATTACTCAGCCAGCAAGACTCAACTGCTTTCCTGGTTGACTTTCTGCTGTTGGTATCTAGTCCTTCTCAAGCAATGCTTACCTCATCTCTGGACTTTAACCCCTTGCTGGTACTACCAAACCCTTGCTCAGATCTGTGATGGCTCAAAACCCAAACCTCAGTACACAGGTGACTTTCTGCTAAAGTTTCATCAAGAGATTTTATTCTTCTGATTCTTCTTTCATGATGCAAATGTGTTGAAAGGTACCAGATTATCAATGATAAATGTTTGTGTGTTAAGAAGAGTCTCCTACCTTTGACTTGACAGCTAGGATGATCTTGGGCAGGGCCACAACGAGGCATTTCAGTGCAATGGTGAGGTACTTCAGCACGAAGTCAGCGATGCCCACGATCCACATGAGGTCAAAGAAGTCCAGTCTCTCCAGGTTGGGTTTCAGAAATATAAGGCTGGAAGGCATGAGACATCAAAGCTCATGTACCAATAAGGAGAACCTCACTCAAGCTTCTTGTATCCACTGCTGGCTAGAGAGAGCCTAGAAACTCCACTGAACTTCAGGGCAGTTGCCAAGGGCAGTAGGAGTAAGACATGCAAATTAGTCCCACAGTTCCTCTGGGCTTCTTGATTTTGTTCTTGCCCATTTCTACTGAGGTCAGCAGGTTTGCCCACTGTCACAAAACATGTACAAAATCTGTTTTGGAAGGCTGTAGTCTCCATCCCCTGCACTTCACACTGCACCAGAGCCCTTGGTCTGCAGATAGTGCCTTTAGTGCACAGGCTTGTTCACAGATCTGACTGCAAAAGCTTATCCTGTGAAGCCCCAGTCAGCAGTAGTTATGGTTCCTTGGGGAAGTCATGGCCAAACCAACAGCCCTACATCTCCTGGGGCTGGCTTGCCACATGGCCAGCAGTGGAACAAGCTGGTGAGAAAAGCAGCAGTGTACTAGACATGGCAGAAAGGTCAGAACTTAAGGTGTCTCATGCTCTGCCACTGCCTGAGGCAGAACAAGAGCTGGGTTGTGTTCATTAGCAACTCTTACCTCAACCAAAGATCCAAAAAGTAATGCCCCTTATATGATATCATTGCCTGGGCTGAACATTTGCTCTTTCAAAAAGAGGAGTCTAGGAGAGCAGAACTTCACAGAACAATGGGCAGGAGCTGCTGACCTGAGCAGCAATGAGGACTGGATCCTACTCAGGCTGAAAAACTAGAATTCATCTTCAGGGCATTTACCTACTAAAGCCACATAGGAGAAAGCAAAACCTTAACCAAAAAAAAAAAAAGCAAAACTACAATAACCAACCCAAAATGAAAAGCCTGAACATGAATTTAAAATACTCACAACACTGGCACAGCACAACAGGTAAAATAACACCCTAAAAACAGAAACAGAATCAGAAACTTTACCACTATTCATGCACTAGAAATGAGAAAAAAAAATAAATCAGGAAATTAAAAATAAGCCAGAAAGAAACAAAACTGAAGCAGCTATTTCTAATTTGATGAGCCTACCTTAAGAATAGTCCCAGGTACTCACATAGCAAGGAACAGACACAGCAGCCTGAGCATGACACAGCAGGAAGCACAACACTCACAGGGACAGGGCTTCTCAGTGGAGCTGCTGCCCAGCCTGTTCACTGTTACTAATGCCCTAAACACTGTGTAAAGTGGTCCCAACTAGCTGAAACCCTTTTATTTTAGATGATCTATTCTTTATTTTAAACTAGTTCCATTTGTGCTTTTACCCTTGACCACTGTTTTAGGGACAGTTTCCTTGTGGTGCAAACAAATTCCTTCTTCATGCTCTCCCACTTTTCTAACATACCTGTTTCTTCTCTTCCATTCCCTTCCCACAAGCCCTACATGCTTGGATCTCCCATTTGGACCCACACACTCAAGCCTTCTCATCTCTCCCTCTTTCTAGGAGCATTTACGTACACAGTTTTCCAATGACAAATATATACATTAGGGGCAATTCCAAAGGATACCAGGGTTGTGGGTTGACCTTGACTCTTCCAGGGCATAGACAGTATTGGTGGGAAGAAGTAGGGAAGCAATAAAGTAAATGACAGACAAACCAGACCAAGAGCCATGTAGAAATAACCCAACTGATGGACATTACACACATAAAACTTCAGGCTGAAAATACAAAGTCCCATTCAGTGGGACAAAGAAAACTTTCCTTAGGAAGGTAATTCATGCTGTTTTAGCTGCTAACATCAAAAACACTTTCTCAAGTAACTAGGTTTGATACTGCTCCTTTTTTTCCTATTTGTTCTACCAACATACCCTTGCTTAAGTTCTGTACCTTTGCTTTCTATCTGGCATTATTCCTATCTGCTCTATAATAAGCAGAGATAGTGCTGAATCAAATCCATTAGTATGAACTTGTCTGTATTTGAAAACTGCTTCAGTCAGGATTTGAAGGGTGAGGCTATCTTACTTCAGCCCCAATTGCCTCCATGTCTTGCAGCCACTGAAGTAAAACACTACTATTTCATCTCCAGTTTATCTCCTGTCCTAGACTCAAAGCTTGAGAGACTGAAAACAGTACATGAAGAGGAAAATCAGTGGCTCAGCTTCTCATCCTTATGCTCTTTGGGTTCAGTCACAATGGAAACTCAGAGGTCCCTCTTAAAAAGTACCCACCCTGCTCTGACACATGCAGTGTACACTCCAGCCCATGTACACACTGGTTATGCCGTTTATTGATAGGAGCATAGTCCACTGGTGAAGTGACACACACATTCTTTTCCTCCATTGAAAGATATTACAAAGATGTGGCAAAGACAGCAGACACTTTAGGCGTGTACACTTCCTCCCAGAGGGCAGGCAAAGTGGGCTTCCCTCTTTTCCTCCCTGCTTCCATCACGTGCCATGTAAATAGTGCCCACCTGTTGTAGAGCTGCTGAGAGCTGAACGTGTACAGCAAGTACAAGGTGTTTCCAGTGAGAAAGGCCAGGATCCAGAACACAACCAACACTGATCTCTTCTCCTAAGCAAGAACAAGAAGTAGAGAAGATAAATTTCAAGTCTCAAATTTGCACTGAGGCTTCAACTGCTGAAAAATGCAAGACCAACCCAAGGGACACAAATGGGTGACTAAGTGTTCAGTGATTAGTTTATTTAGACAGGATTAAGACACAGAAGTAGCTGGTAGGTAAGCACATATATCACCACAAGCAGAAATGGCTCTCGCTCAGCTAACCTTTCAAATAAAGTCACTTCAGAGAACTTAATTGCAATACACTGGTGAATGTGACAGCCTAACTTGCAGAATGCAATCTTCAGTCCTGGAATCTTTCTTGGGACATCTAAATTCTCCTGATAATTAAAATGCAGTATGACAAGCAGATGGAAAAAAGTCAGTTCCACATATTGTCCTAAATTCTGAGCTGTTTGGAGTGGCACTTCATCAGAGGAGTGTTTTATAAATAGATCCAAAGTCAGAGGAAGGCGTAGCTAAACCAAATACAACATAACCCATCACTGCATGCAGCACATGTGAATGTTATCTAAATGCATGGAGGTTCTAGAACGTGTATTTTTGATTGAAGAAATAATGAAAGGGCAAAAGAAGTGCAAATTTTACATTTCAAAACACACAGAACATTATAGACAGAAGCTGGATGGCAGAAGATCTTGGCCTGGGTCTTGGCCTGGGGTAATTCTGGAGAGTAAATTTTCCTCCTGGGAGGAAAACACCCACTATTTTTCCTGGTAGCTGATTTATTAGGAAAATAGGTCTCTGTAGCTATTCAACAGCCAGGGATGTTGGGCTGAGATTTAAAGCAGGCCAATTAAGGGGCACACTGCTGGAAAGACAGAGGGGCAAAGTGCAAGGCAACAGCAATCTATTACATGATTGTGCAATTTATCTGTTCATTCAGCATTGTATCACATTTATCCCACTGCTGCTGGTGGATACAAGCATACACTTGTGTCACCCATGTGAACTTAACAATAAAGCAATTGTCTTCTGCTTTTAGTGCTGTTGAACTATTCTCCTGACACTGAAGATCATAAGACCTGGAAAGATCTGCTGTTTCTGTATATTCTAAGCACATTATCAACAGAGCATTATAAAGATACTAACAAGCAATCTATCTACAAAATCTTTCAGCTGAACATCTCAAAACATTATCTAAATGCTAATGAGTTACATTTCATCATTAAGGAGTGAAATGGGTTTCAGCACCTCTGCTGTACATAATGGGAAAGTATGGCACAGAGGAGTGCTGGAATATGCATTGCCAGTAAGTGGCAGAGGGAGATGCAGATTACAGCATCCCTGACCTGTCCCCTTGTTGTTTTCTTATTCTACAGTTCCACAAAAAAAAGCAGGATAAAAGCTGTGGGAAAGTATCAATGGGGAGAAGCAGGAAGGCAGGATTATGGCACAGTACTCTTGTTCTGACAGATCTGTACACATATAAATACACTCAGCCCTACACTCCAAAGGAAGGTTCAACATAGGTGCTGTTTTGTACACAGAGAGTGATACTGCCAGGGAACATAAGAAGGTAAAATGGACTCACCTTCAGAGCAACCTGTTCTCGGAGTGTGGAGTTGGCATAGGCGAATGTGCTGGCCATGCCAATGCACACAGCAATCCCTGCAGGGAAAGGCACTGTCACAGTATGGAATGCTAAGCAGGAGCATCTCTAGTCCTAAGCCATGTGGTATCAGCATCTCAAGTTTAGGAATAGCATTACTGACTGATATTACTGCGTGATGCACTGGGAATGTCAATACACAGGAAACTAAACTAGGGCTGTATATAAAGTTCGAATTCAATCTAAAGCAACATGCAGCACTGCAGTGAGCACTTGCCACCCAGCCCAGTGCACACTCTCTGTCCTAATGGCAGGTTCTGTGCCGAAGGAGAACACAAGTGGCTGCAATGTGCCAGATGTCAGTATTACAATAGCAGTTCAGTGGAGGAGGGCACACTGTCAACACCATATAGGAGATCAGATCCGAAGACCGAGATGTTGCAGACATGAATCAAACAAATCCTGGCACAGGCTGCCCAGGGAGGCTGTGGCTGCCCCAAGTTCAAAGCCGGATCAAGCCTTGAGCAAACTGCTCTGGTGAGAGGTGTCCCTGCCCAGGGCAGGGGGTTGGGGCTGGAGGATCTCCAAGGTACATTCCAACCCCTTAACAGACTACGCATTTGAATATGTTCCTTTCATGCTGGACACTGTCACATGGGTAAATGCATTGGACACCACAGCCTGATAAATCTTCCTAACCACCCTCTAACACAAAGTTCAAAAAGGATGGATACTTACCAAGAGGTGTCCCTGCCCAGGGCAGGGGGTTGGGGCTGGAGGATCTCCAAGGTACATTCCAACCCCTTAACAGACTACGCATTTGAATATGTTCCTTTCATGCTGGACACTGTCACATGGGTAAATGCATTGGACACCACAGCCTGATAAATCTTCCTAACCACCCTCTAACACAAAGTTCAAAAAGGATGGATACTTACCAAGCTTGTGCTGGAAACAAACTTTAGCCAGGAGGATCAAGATGAAGGGAAGTCCCTTCTGCAGCCAACCAATCACAGCTTTTAGCTCTGAGAGAGCTGGGGCTGGAGTTCCAGCCTGTTCATCACTGCCCTCCTCTGCGTGCCCGTGTCGGTCCCCTCCGGCCATGTGCAGCAGGGATGAGCCCCTGTGGTGGCCGTGGTGAAAGTGATGGGACGACTGGCGGTGGTGGAACGGAGCTCCTTCTGCACGGCTGCTCCCCTCCTCCCTCGGGGCTGGCATCTGGATGAACACCTCCCCACCCCCTGCTGAAGAGCCCAGCACCAAACCTGACTGGAATGGTGTGGCTGTGATGGAGCCCGAGGGGATCCCTGCCAGGCCTGAGAACAGCTGTTGTGGTGAGGGAGCTTCAGCCTTCAGACTTTCAAAAACTCCACTTTCATCCACGCTGGTTTCAGAACTGACTGTTTGGCTCCGGTTTCTGCAGGGGATGGAGATGAGAGAAAAGGTCTTTTAGCCCAATCCTGATTGTTAGTCATTCAATAGTTCCTCACAGAGTCAGGTCCCAGATGACAGTTGCTTTTCCCCCTATGTGCTGTTGAAAAGTCCCAGTGGCAGAACTAGAGGCCAGTAACCAGACCCCTAACATAAGAGCAGAGAACCTCTCAAGTCCCGATCAAAATGCATCACTTTGTTAAGCTAAGGAATGAAGGCCCCAAACACCCTGTTTACTTTTGGAGGAACCAAAGATATAACACATCTGATACCAAATTCAGCATCTTCTGTAATGATTTTAGTATTTAAAGAAAAATATGCAAACCCCCAAGAGACTTGACACAGCACAGGCAACACAGGCCACATTATACACAAATTAACCAAGCTAACTCAAAGCAATGACCTATCACAGAATCTTCTGTCTTTATCTAGGGATGATCACCACCTGCCCACTGATCGATTACACCAGCAAGAGACAGAATCAGCTGGGGACTAGAAGCCTTGAGAGCTGCTTGTGTGTCCCTGACCTGACAAATATTGTAAGTGAAGGTTGTGCACATGGATCAAGAGAAATTATTTTGATATTCTTGGCAATCTGGACATGAATGTACCCAAATTACTAGACACTGGACAGAATTGGTTCTGGCACTGATTCTTTCCTGAGCATGTTGGAATACAGCCGGATTCCAAAAAGAAACTCTAAATACTTTCATCCTAATACCAGAAGTCAATAGGTTTTCCTCACCTGAAGTCAATACTGTGGTACTGAGATGAATACATGGAAAGTTCAGATGACATAGGACAATACAGGGAACAAGTAGCACAATCATTAGGCAGCAAATGCCTGGCAGACAGCAAATACCTCTCTAACTTGCAAAAGGAGAGTAAATAATAAATAAAGCTCAGCAAGAGGCAAAGCCCACAAACAAGGAGTGTTGTAGAGCTCTGGCCTCTCTTGATTTTAATCTCTGGAGATCTCTAACTTTAGAAATAGTGGTCACAAGCTGAGACAGCACATGGAGGTACATAAAGGGCCCCTAACCTTCTCTCTCCCATGGGTTCAAAAGCCTCTCCAGGCACCTTACAGGGCACAGAGCACTGCCTTTCACCTCACCCTGGAGACAGCCTCAAACCTCTCTGGGCATACCTTCCCACTAAGCAAACTCCTAATAAGGCTTTTTATACCTACACCCCATTTCCACTGTCTCTCCACAGGCTCCAGCAAGGAATCAAGTCAACAAGACATTGCACACCTCTCTCTGGTTCAAAATATTCAAGCAGATCTTTGATTTTACACCTAACATTACAATTGAGGGATGTATACACAACACAGGGACATAATATGACAGTACTTAGGTCTGGGAACATAACAAACCACTTGGGTGGAACCCAGTGTTACAAATAAAGACGGAACTATTGTTTGGAATAATACTACCAGGATACTTGGCTATGCTTTCAGCA